TGCTGACCGAGGCGGCTCGCACGCTTGAGAAGCTGGGCGATCACCGGCTTCTGCACGACTGCCAGCAGATGCTCATGCGCCTGGGTGGTGGGACTACAGTTACCTCCAGCTAGACCTCCGGCGTGGCGTCCTCCACGGTCTCAGTGTCCCGGTCTCCACGGCTCACCCGCGGCTGCTCCGTCCCTGAGGGGTGGGAGGCGGGAGGCGCAACCTACCACCCCAGCCCGCTCCTCAACTTGACAAGCGGCCGTCAGGATGGTGCTGACCTCTGGTGGCCGATCGGGGAATTACAGGAGCCGAACCGCCCGTGTTCCCCCCACCGCCCTTGCTCTGCAGGCACCTTAGTGGCTTTTTTCCTCGCTTTTCTAGAGGGAGGAGGGGGTACCTTTCTTTGAGCTGAGGGGGGCCCTTCCCCAAGGTGCCTCTTTCCCTTCTGGGGGAGACTTGTACATAGTGTAGATGGGTGGGCCCAGGTGGGCCAGCCTCCTTGCCTCGGAGGCTCATGAGCTACTTTTGCAAACTTTATTTTCGTAGGTTAAGTTTTGTACAGAGAATAAAAAATGACGTTATTTATAACCTTGGTTTTGTTCCTTTGGGGATGAATATGTGTGCTGGACATGCTGACCACACACCTTAGGGCCTTTTTCCTCAGCACCAATGCCAAGGTCTCCCATCCTCCACCCCTCATAGGACAGTATTTACCCCCTCCTGACCTTATGACCCCTAGCTGACCTATCCCACTGATCTTGGGCCAAATGTTCGTCTGTATTCGGTTAGGGCCTTGATGGTTTCAGTTGTCCCTGAAACTCCTGGCCCTGACTCGGTCTGGGGTGACTTGGAAAGACAGTGTCCTCCAGGGCCTGTTTGACAGGAGCTATAACTTGGGCCTCCCAGTATGTCTGGAGTGTCTCAGCTCCCTCACCTCCTCCTATCTGTCCTCGGAGAAACCCTGTATCAGTCAGAATCTGAGGTCACATAGGCAGGTGAGGCCATCTGAGGGTGTCTCCTGTTCTCCAGAAATGGGCTGAATCCCTGATCACCCCCCCACCTAAAGTCTGGTCCCGAATCCCAGCAGAATCTGGTCAGAATCCATGGGCTGCAGACTTCCAAAACAATCTTGTATCTTTATTGACTTTTTTTTTTTTTCTGAATGCAATGACTGTTTTTTTACTCTTAAGGAAAATAAACATCTTTTAGAAACAGCTCGATACACACAATCTTCAGTGTGAAGCAATATACTAATAAGAACACTAGTCGTCTTAACATTTACAGTCTTCATATATATTATATATATGTATATGTATACATATATATACACTATATAACGAGGCCAGATATAATACACACGTTTACCATTTTACAGTCATATGTACAGGAAGTTGCTAGGGCGGCCCCTGGCTGGGGCTGCGTCAGGCCTATTGAAGCGTGGACAGAGCTGAGGTGAGGACACGGACAGACAGGCGGACGGACTGGCAGGGACTGGCCCAAGCCGGTGGTGGCTGCGTGGGGAAGGGGCATCGCGGTAGACTCCCCTACTCGGCAAGGGCCCGGCTGGGGCTCTGCTGCAGGGCGCACGACGCACGGCGGCGACACACAGGAGAAGCGAGCATGTTCCCAACATATATACATTCTATGTAACATATATATAGAGGGGTACACAGGTTTTGTACACGAATCTAGCGCTGTCCCTACTCCCGTACTGAGTGGGCGCTGTGGTCCCTGAAGACCGTGGTGGCGCACAGGGACAATCGCGCATCCGCCGGAGGTACGCTCATGCTCGGATCGGATCTCCTTTCTTGCTGCGTTCCTAGGCTGGGCTCCAAGGGTGGGGTGGAGGATTGGAAAGGGGACGAACAGAAGATGCCCCAGTCCCGCCCACACCCGGGGAGCCCACATCCCCTGAGCATAGGCCCCCGATTACCCCGGCTTGGCCGGAACCGCAGGGAAGCTTTGGCAAAGGGTGGGTGGGAAGGGGCGCTGGGACGCATTCCGACTGGTTGGTTTCGAAGCCCCTTGCCCCCTCCCCCGCTGGCCGGGCCCCCTCCAGAAAGGCTCCGGTTTCCCCTGCCTCGTCCATGGAGCTAGGAGCCGCCCTCGGCCCCTTGCAGGGTCGTCTGGATCTCCTCTCCCGACCCCAGGGCGCCCAGCTGCAGGCCACGACCGACCGACTGCGGTGACGGCAGCACCCACGAGGAATGTGTGCCACGTCGTCTTGGAACTTCCGGGAGGGGGAAGTGTCCCCAGCCCAAAGCCGTCTCCCACCCCCGCCAGAGGCTGGGTGGGCCGAGAAGTCTGGCCGCTCCGCGGGCTCCCTCTCCAAGCCTGGCCCCAGGGGTGTGGGCAAAAAAAAAAAAACAAAAAAAAACGCCCTGTGCCGTCCGGTTCCGGGAGCAGGCGGCTCCGGAACAGGTTTTCTTCCCAACCCGGGGCCGCACGTCGGCGCCCTGGGCGGCCGGATCCAAGATCCGGGACGCGGATCAAGGATCGGCTCTGGACGCGCGCTGGGAGCAGCTCCAAGGCCCCAGGGCTGCGCAGGCTGCTTCTCTCCTTCGGAGGCGGGCGTCGGGCGGCTCCGGCGGCTTTTCCAGCCGTTGCGGTGGATTACAACGGCAGCCTCTGCAAAAGAAGAGCAGACGCCCGCCGTCCATTACTGTGGGCCGGGGAGAGGAGGAAGGGGCCGATTCCTTCCAAGCCGCAGGCCCCGCCCTCGGTGGGACCCCGCCCGCGCACCGGGTGGGCGCCCCTAGGGTCTCTTTCGGTGTCAGGGAGCGGGAGTCCCCCCTCTGGCTTTTCCTTTCTTCTGACCACCTTCACCTGAGTGCCCTCCGTCCAGTCCTGTGCCCTCTCTTTGCCCCCTATCTTGAGAGGGCTTTATGGCAGCTCCCCTAGGGATGTCCCTTACGGGCTCGCCTGGTGGACAAAGCGTGCTTTCGGAGTAGCCTATGCAGATCTGCCTCAAGGCCCGCAGGGGCCCTGGCGACAGGTGAGGGGAAGCTGAACTGGGTCCTGGCTGGACTTGGTGGGGGCTGGGTCTCCTGAGGGTCTGCAGGTCAGGGCAGGGGCTGGTAAAGGCCATCATTGATGGAGTGGGGCTCCTTGTGATCACCTACCTTATGTTTGGGACATTTCAAAGAAAAGTTCTCTTCGATGAATACACAACCTGTAACCAAAGAGAAGTTTTGGTGGTTAGACAGGGTGGGGTCTGCCAGGCCCCAGCTTGCAGGAGCTCTTTTCAAAGAGTGACCTAAGTCCTGCTTAAATCCTCCATAATCACAGTTCCACCACAGAACAGGCTGGGGGGGCCCTCTGCTCCTTCCTGCTTTGTTCTTTGTCCTCACCTCACCTGCTCCACCTGGAACTCTTTCCCCCCCATCCTGTTTCCGCATGGCTGGCTCCTTGACTAAAGCAGAACCTGCCCTCCGCAATCCCCTGAGATGTGTGCCCAGCCCCTAGAAGAGCCTAGGAAAGACTCAATCACTGATGGCTTCGGTGGTCACCTACAGCATGTCCGTCGTGGGGATGGTGAAGAGAGCATATATCAATACCCCCCCCCCACACACACACACCCACGGCACACAGTAGGTGCTCAAAATGCAGGGGCTTGTTCCCGTGGGAACAAGGGAAGATGAGAATGAGGTGCACATAGGATCCTGGTGAACACTCCAACCACAGACGAGCCAGAGGACAGCAGAGTTTGGCCAGTCCTTACGCCCAGCTCTGCCAGACTGTGCCTGTATCTCCACGAGTCCTCCGCTCCCTGCCTGCTGCCATCTATGGACACCCCGGCTTTTCCCTGAGCACCCCCACCTATCACCCCCCGGGGTCCTGAGCTCATCTCTCCTCTCTCAGCCTCACTGGCCAGAGGGGCACCCTGCCCCAGCACAATCTTCCAGTTCACACTGGAGGGTGGCATCATCACAGGGTGGGGACCGGGAGGCAGGGCAGGAAGGGGACAGATCTGCAGCTCCAAAGCAGAACTGTAGGCCTTTTGAAGGCGTCTCCCCTTCCTTTCCCTGCTCAACCCCTGCCAGAAGCTATGAGGGCCCCCCACCCCCCACCTTTGAACTCCCTGTGAGATTCCATGATCTAGAGCCACAGCTGGGGCGACTCAGCAACTTTCCTTTTCTGGTTCTGGGACAAAGTGAGACATTCCATAGAGCGTGGGCTAGAAGTCCAGGCTCGCCTGCTGACCACATGGCAGCCCTCTGGGTCAGCTCTGGGTACGTGGGCCAAGTGCCTGGGTCACCAGAAGCCAGGGGTAGGAGGCCACTTCTAAATCAGGGCTTTCAGCAACCCCAGCATCTCCCATGCCAGGTGTGGGAGGGGAGTGGTTGGGAAGGGCCAGGTATTGACATCGTGTCCCTCGCCTGGTGTCTTGGATCTGGATGACCAGGTGGCCCTGGGGCTGACTGAGATTTGGTGGGTTTGGACAGGACACCATGGTGCAGTGGCCTCTGCCTGCTCTTGGGAGTCAATACGGGTCTCCAGAGAGAGGATCCTTAATACGGACGGGAAGGGGGCAGGGTTAGTGGGCCAGGGCAGGAAGGCTGGGTGGCAGCTGGCACCCCGCAGTCTGAGAGCCTGACTGGAGAGCCCCTGCTGACCCCCCAGGTAGATTGCTCTTCTCAACCTGCTGCTGCCTGGTCACCACCAACAGCCCTCCCTGCTTCTTGGAGTTCAGTCCTTCCAAACCTTTTCTGGCTGCTGAGCCCGTTTCCCAGAGGTCCCCTTCTCCTCCTCTGCCAGGTCTTCATAGGTGGCATCTCCCCACACACTATGCCCTCCAGGGCTCTAATGAACCCCTACCTGCTCAGGTGGAGTCTCCATCCTGAGCCCAGCTGGGGGCTTTGCAAAAGTGACCTGTCCAAAGCAGAACTGCTCTGTATGGCTGCCAACACGACCTTGATCCCCCATTCTGTACCCAGGTCCTTTGCAGCCCGTGCCATGGAGAAGTGGCATGCCTGTCCCCACCCTCAGAATCTGGGTTGCACCTAGATTGCTTTGGCCAACAGAATACACTGAAGCCCAGAGCCCAGGCTGGGAGAGGCCGTGTGACCTCCAATCTTTCAGGCCCCTGCTGTCTTGGAGGACAAGACCACGTGCATCATGTGGAGCCTAAAAGGGCTGGGCCAGCAGCTGGGGCCTCCCTGGAGCATCCTGCCCCAGCAGAGCCTGCCAGGGTGAGTACCTACGTAGCAGTAATTAATACCTTCTCTCTTATGCTCATCCTGCTCAGACTGGTTTCTCCCTCCCCATGGGGAAGCTGGACATCAGGCCGACACCTCCCTCTCCCTCATCTCTCCCAAAGTCCTGTGGCTTCTGTGCCAACATAGCCTCTGAGCTAGATAGCTCTACTGTACCAGGCCACCCTCTCCTGCTTGGACTGTTGCAGTAGTTCATCAGCCAGCCCTGATCATCCTTTTTCCCCCAGACACTTCCCTGTCTCATTCTCTGTAGAGATTCCTGTCATTTGGGGACTCGGTTTCTAAGATTTCCTTTGAAACATATGTTCTCTGGCTCAAAGCCTGGTATACGGAGTCCTACAGCTAACCAGCTACAGCCCACCTTTCCTGATGTTTTGAGGCCTGGCTCAAATATCACTTCCTCCTAGAAGTCTTCCTGGATTCCCTCCCAGCTCAGACAGGAAGAGCCTCTCCCACGTCCACTCTCTCTTCCTCATCTGGTCTCCATAACTGCCGGTAAAAACTATGGCTCTCCTCTCTGTCCTACTTCAAGGTGAGCCCCCTGGGGAGGCTGGACAGTTCTGGGGTAGGAGGAAGAGCACAGGATGTGGAGTGGGAAAGCCGGCCATCACACGGGGCGTCTGACAGTGTCATGGTGTGGTGCCAGGAGTTAGCTCATCTGGAGACGGTGCAGGGACCTGACAGGCAGAGGGTGCTCAACAGGTCACTACAGGGGGACCGGGCTCAGGGAGCCTACCCATGTGCCATGTGGCTGGGTAGCGTGGATGGAGTCCACGTTCAAATCTGGCTCCGAGAGAGAGGGTAGAGCCACCGAGAGTCCGCACCTGTGGCTCAGCTCTAGCAAGTCCCCTCCTGCTGGGCACCAGCCGCTCAGCCCCCTGCTGAAAAACTGTCACCAAAGTCCTGTGGGTGCTCCCTGGGGTGGGTTGGCTATAGGGCTGACACTGGTCAGGGACCCAGCAGGCAGGTGGGATACAGGCTGCGGTCACCTCTGCATGCGGTCAGGAGGAGGGGCACTGTGAGGATCTGCTGGGTGACATGAGCCCCTCCGGTGCCTGGGCTCTGCCCACATCCAGACAGGGTCAGAGTCATTTCTCCCACTTCCAGGCCGGAGCTGGGAGGGATGCAAAGCGAGGGGACAGGGGTCACGGGCCCACCCTAGGACTGAGGTCACATTTCCTGGACGGTGTTCAGTATTTCACTCTCCTTCAGACAGCTCTGGGACAAAGAGACTATTAAAATCTTCCTTTTACAGATGGGGCAACCGAATGCAGAGACATCTGTGAGCTGCCCAAGGCCACACCTTCAGAAATGCCATCTGGAATCCCAGAGACTTGGGAGGCTGAGGCAGGAGGATCACGGGCTACAGGCCAGCCTCAGCAACGTAGCTAGACCCATCTCAAAACAAACACACAAAAGCCCCAAACCAAACCAATTAGTGCCTCCAGAGTTTGAATCCAGGCCAAAGTTGGTCTTAAGTACCCTTACAATATTGCTGTCCCCGGTGACGGGCATTACACAGTGAACAACTGCTTTCTTCGGATGAAATAAGGGATCTTCCTGAGCCTCAGTTTCCCCATGTGGTGGACGAGGTCTGGAGTTCCCGGGTCTCTCTGGTCTATGCAATCTATCCCTGTGCGCCTGGCAACTGTAGGTGCTCAATAAATGCCCATAGAACAAGTGGATAAAAGTAGGGAATTGGGGTAGAGGCCACAGAGGAGGCTAGGCCTGCCTCAAAACCCCAATGTCTTCTTCAAACCTTCCATGGGGCTTCCCCGTGGCCAACTAGAGGTCGCCTGGCCTCAGTGTGTTGGAACCCCCTGTCCTCAGCTCATCTGTCTTTCTTGTTGCAGGATGATCTTTCCCCGGCCCCAACGCATCTTTCTTTCTGAGATCCCCACGGTCCCTTGCAATGGTGGCTCCTCAAATAGCCCTCCTGACTCTAATCCATGCTTGTCTTTCCTCTTTGCTCCGGGCAGGCCTCCATTGGTGCATTGCCCAGTTGTGGTCTTTATCTCCTAGTCTAGGAAGGACTCTGTCTAGGAAGGATGAGGAGGTAAAGAATTGCTGGGGCAGGAGAAGAGGGGACCCAAGGGGTGCAAAGAGCCCGGGTTGGAGGCCCTGTTCCCACGGTTGGCTCTTACCCGCATCGCTGGCACACGGGTAATGGTAGGAGTGGACACATCCTTTGTGGGAGCACCCGATGGTGGCCCCGGCTTCTTGGCAGCTGGAACATGTCTAGAGAGAGAGAGAGAGAGAAGCCGTGAGTCCCGTGCTCCCCGGGCTGACCCCACGCAGCCCACCCGCTTCCTCCAAAACCACCCTGGACCTCAGCACGAAGGAGGAGGCTTAGGTGGGGTGCAGATGCCCACACAGGCTGGTTCTCAGGCACCCTGGGCTGGCTTGCTGGGTGGGGGTCGGGGGGGACTTTCTTAGGCCTGTGAACTAGTCACCACTATGGCTGTGGGCACCAGCCAGCATTTGCCAAGTGCTTCCTGCAAGACCGGGCAGAGTGGGTCTTTGGCTGCTGGCTCCTAACAGCCCTTGAGGTGGGTGGCACTTATTAACTATACAGGTGGTGACACCAAAGTGTCCCTTGCACAGGCAAAAGCAAAAGCAATGAGCATTGCTGTCCACGCTCTCTGGTGGCAGCAGGAGTACCAGTGGCAGGACCAGGCGGTCACCCTCCCTAGGATGGACGAGGCAGCAGAAATGGAGACAGCATGCCACCTTGAGATGCTGACTTCATGTACGCCTGGTGCCACCCAGCATGCGCCTGGTCCCTTACAGTTCTCAGAAGTGTCTTCTGCTGAGCTTGGGGGGTTGCCCTGCTTGGTGCAGCCGTCCTGTGGCCAGGAGAGGATGGTAACCCCCAAGGAAGACCCCGGAGGAATCAAGCCAAACCCCGAGGCCTGGGGAGGAAAGTGGCGGGTCCAAAGTCACCCACATTCCTGAATCAGCCATCGTCGTCCACGGGGTGCGGGGGGATTGAGGCGCAGAAGGAAAGCCGAGAGCACCGTGGGCCCCTCCCAGAGGCCCGGCCTGCTTCCCAGCAGGCCTGGCTGGAAGCCCGGTCCAGCTTCTTCAGGTTCCCTGGGTAACCCGCCTGGCAGCACACGCTTCCGACTGAGCCCTGAGCCCCGCAGCCCGGTTGGGACACAGGCTCAGTCACCACCCCAAGACCAGCCCAACCTCTTTCCTGTCTCATCCGGGATGGCTTCCTGTGGAACTGGGGCCCAGCACGAGTGGGGACCCCAGGCCAGATGGAGACTGTCATCCTCAGTGGTCCCTGGGCCACCGTGGGGTTCCTCGGGCTGATGGCTTCTCTCCACTGTGGTCCCCAGCAACCCTTGAGGCGGCCATTGGACCGGCCACTTTAGACACGAAGAAACAAGTCCAGGATCCTGCTGAGGCCTCAGGTGCTTCTGACCCCAGCCACCCCCACAGGGGTGGCCCACGCTGGGGCCTAAGCGGACGTTGCCCTGCCAGGCAACGTGGGCTCAGCCCTGGGACCTGCCTCTCTACTCTGGCATGGCAGGGCCAGGCCTCATCTGGGTAGGGGATGGGGTCCATGATGGTGGGGGAGGAGTCAACCCGCAGCTCCACAGCTCTGTTCTCCAGGGAGCATAGGGGGCGTCCATGGACGGGCAGGTGTAACAGGTGGGCGGGGACTCGGCAGTGCTCTGGGATCCGAAGACCCTCACAATCCAGCTAAGGGGGGGTCCAGCACTCTGGGGCTCCGAGGGCAGGTGGCTTCCTGCAGTTAGGAACTGGCCCTTGGCGAAGCTGTAATTTGCATCGGGACCAGTTTGATGCCCGTGGAACGTGATGGGAAGGAACAGTGGGCTGCGGTGACCCTGCTCATTTTTCTGGGGAGGGTGGTTGCCTGGGGACCACGCCGCATGGACATGGGCTGTGATGAGCCCTCTGAGGCTCTGCTGGCTGGACAGCATGTCCAGGGACCTCTGCAGCAGGGAGACACCTTGAGTGACCAGCAAACACCTATGGTGTGTGTGATTCTCATTCTGGCCTCCGGGGCCGCGGCTGCCAGGCTGGCCCTGGAACATGGGGTGGGGGGGACATGAGGATGGATTGGGTGGACTAGACCAGTCCAGCTGTGTGACAGTGGGGGACCTGACCCATGTCTGACACATGCGTCCCCCTCAGTGCAACGGGACCTTCTTTGTGTGCAGGTCAGTGAGCTGAGACACCAAAGGCACCAAAGGGAAGGGCCTGGGACAGGCGAGGGGCTTCACCCACTCTCTCAGGGACCCCTCCTCACCCAGGCCAGCCAGGGACATAGAGATAACCAGATCCCAGGCCTGGACCTCAGAAAGGCTTTGGACGTGAGCCTGGGGGCCGCACGGGAACACCAGCACTCCGGAGGCCAGTGTGGACGGGGTGGTTAGCAGGGCAGGGTGGCCGTCAGCTGGGGGGTGGCCATCCCAGGGCAGGGCTGTTGTTTTTTATTGATGGGTCAGAAATGACTTTATTTTTAGGTGGCTGCAGAGAAGCCAGGGATGAAAATGTCACTGAGAAGGGAAGAGAGAGGACCCAGGGCCCATGGCCTCGCCTGAGTGTGCAGGTGGGGGCCCTGGACAGCTGCATCCTGTCCGGGCCAGGCCTTCCTCAGTGGGGCGGACAGGACATCGGGGGACAGAGGTCGCCATCATCCCCATGGGCCGTGGGGGAGCCAGGAGCCTGGGAAACAGGTATGAGCAGCATTTGCAGTGGCCCACAGGGTCTGATGTGGCCACACCCGGCCGGCTGTGGGTGCAGGGGAGTGCTAGGGAGAGCCAGCGGGGGGGCAATAAGGTGGCAGGGTCACAGGGGAGCACAGATGGAGCGGGGCGAAGGCCACCAGGGTGGTCAGCTCTGCTGGGTCACCAAATCATTCAGATACAGGAAGCCCGTGACTCACAGGCCTCTGGCACCACCTGCAGCAGGATGGCAGGTGCGGAGGAGGGGGGGCTAGGAGGGGTGTGTCCACGGGGACAGTCGGGGCCTAAGGCAGAGCACTGGGAGTGTCATTCCCCAGGAGCCTGGCGGGGCAACCTGGGGCCTCGAGTGTGTGAGGGCCAGGGGCCCAGTCTCCATGGAAGGCAGCCTCACCAGGGGGGGACCAGAGAGCACGCTCTTGGGCACTCACTGCAAAGAGCCCTGTGCCCCTGGCAGACGGGAGCCGAGGAGCAGCAGTTGGTGGCCTGCGGTACTGGAAGGTAAGGGTCGTCCTATCAGTGACAGACACAGAGCCCTCGGGGTGGGTCGGGTGCCACCCTAGTGGTGACAGGTGTTGACTCAGAACACCCCACGGCCACTCCCTCGGGCGGGCACAGGGCGCCCACCCCGAGGATGAGGGTGCCCGGGCAGAGGTCGCGTCCATGGGGAGAGCGGGCAGCTCCTCAGTCTTGGTTCACAGAGCTCAGTGACCACAGTCCCCTGGGGGGTGGGTTGTGAGGAGATGGTTAGAGGCTCCCAGGCCACCCTGTTTGCTCTGCTGGGCGAGGTGTCCCCAGGGCCACCTCCCAGAGGGGAAGAGCCCTGTGCAGGGTGCCAGGCTAAGCCCGGGGGCAGCTCCTCCTGCAAGCCCAGCTAGGTGACCTGGAGGAGCGACTTGTGCGGGCGGGGGGGGGGGGGGCTGGCGTTTAATTCTGGGGCCTCCCGCCCTCGTGGGCACCTCGGTCAGCAGGGTGGGGACTGGAAGATGCCCGAGGAGAGGGCGCACTGCGGGGGTGCTGGCTGGGCAGACTGCAGGTAGGGCTGCGCGGGAGGCTTCCTGGGCAGTGGGTGAGTGCGTCCAGGTGTGCCCTGCGCCAGGGGTCTCGGGGTCTGTGGATAGTGCTGTGGCCGTGGGCCTTTTGACCCAAATGGCAGCCCTAGAGAGACAGGGGGCTCCCCAGCGGCTGCCTGCCCGCCTGCCTGTCCTTCCGAAACCCAAGCTGCCCACCCTGGCTGGGCTGGCCTCTTACCATGTCCACGGCCACCTTCATGGCCTCCTGCAGCCCAAAGAGCTTCCCGGCCACCAGGTAGACCCCGCCGGTCCACACGGCGCAGGCCTCGTGCACCCAGTGCTCCTGGGTGTCCCCGCCGGGCTCTGCAGGACCCTCTTTGCTGCACTCATGCTTGCGGCTCTTGTCGGCTGTGGCCACCTCCTCGCCCCCGTCCCCCCGACCATCACAGCAGTAGCAACTCTGCAGCCGCCGGGACAGGCCCCGGGCGCTGGTGCGCAGTGAGCCCTGCTTGGCCGGGTCCGCTGGGCCGTCAGGCCTGGGGGGCTTCCCGGCGGTGGTGGCGGCGGCAGCGGTGGCGGGAGCAGGGGCTGCACACTCGACTTTGAGTGTTCTCTCAAGGGGCAGCGAGGCCTCCTCACAGGTGCCTTCCGGCCGCACCTTCTCCTTGAGTTTTGGCTTCTTTTTGGGGAGGCAGTGTTCGGGGTAGTAGGGCCCACAGAGGTCCCCGAGGTCCTTGAAGTTGGCCGGGTTTTGGCAGAGGCAGCAGACAAGGCAAGAGGTACTCAGAGCCTTGGAAACCACAGGCCCCAGGTGCATTGTGGAGGAGAGGGGCAGCGAGGGCCGTGGCTGCAGGATGGAGCCCCCCGGGAGTGTGGTCAGGGAGGTCCCGGCCACATCCAAGGAGAAGGAGGAGGAAGATGAAGAGGAGGAGGTGGAGGAGGAAGGCTT